GCATTTATTTGAAGAAGAAAACTAATCCAGGTTAACGTCTAATTTTGCCTCGAAAATCTTTACATAGAAACAATGAATATTTAAAATTTTTTTAAATTAATATTACGCCTGAAAGTGTTAAAAAGCAATATAGCTCCTAACCATTAAAAATGTTTACGGTTAATGTTAATATTTTAACTATCAGGGCGGCTTGCTCCTCGGTTAACATTTCTGGGTCACATTATTGATTCAAAAAAAAATTATCAAATACTCACTGTTCTTGCGCACAAACTTTCGGGACAAAAATAAGTTTTAATCCAAACTAACCCAATCTAGCTAGTTTTGTATGCACATACCTGAAATGAGAACAAGGACAAGTGCTAGAATAATAGCAAATATACTGATCATCTTCATGTTTTTGAATTCTTGATTTCTTCACCTTCGATTTGCCCTGCAAATGTATGACAATTAGGTTGTCTTAGATGAACAAACGTACATAATGCCTTGTGTTAGAACTACCTTTATTTATAGATTTCTAATCATTAAATACTAATTTAAGAAGTTCAATGCATCTATATGAGTTCATTGTATCTGTACTATATTTTGACATATATTGTTCATAATTAAAGCATTGTTTTGACATATTTGACTGTTCTGTAATCAGTAACTCAGGTTCATAAATGGAAGGGAAAAATAAATAGCCAAGACTTTTCAATATTAGGTTGATTCATGGATACCATAATTAGATGTTGGCCTCAGAAAAAAAGAAAAGAAAAGAATACCATAATTAGACTCCTTGAGTTCAAAATGTTGGGAGGTCAATAGCTAATGGAAATTCTTAAAATATAATAATATTTAGATCACTCTTACTTAGATGTTTATAACTAAATATTCTCTTCCATCTTAAATATAAAAGCTAGTAGTAACGGAATTTGTACAATATCGATTTATTTTGGTAAAAATGTGAAGTTTTATTTTCTTTTTTTGGTAAAGAAATTTTAATTTATTTTATCTTACAAATTTATCATTTTTTCTAAACTTCCTCTATTAATTATAATATATATATATAAAGAGGTTATTTCATTAATGAAGTAACATATAATGCAAAGAATTAAAATAGATATGTCAAGAAAATCAATATAGATTTATTAACAAATAACTAATCTAATTAATTTTCTTAATAGTTACAAATTTGTTGCATAGCTCTAACATTTTAGATGGGAGAAAGTAACATTTTATTTTATTCATTCACCTTAATCATTCTCAATCATTTTTCAAATTTATGATCCTTCGGTTTCACTTTTTTTTTAAAAAAATTTTTGTTATGGTCGTCTGTGTACATCATTCTCCTTTTAAAAAAAAAAATATTAGGCTGAGAATAAAAAAACATATAAAAAAGCATTGCTATTCTTAGTTGTTAATTTTTGTTTAAGCTCTTGTAATATAAATTAGGACTTGTAAATTTTTCATATGGCCACTTGTTATTTTGTTATTGTTTGTTGTTAAAATATGTATGTACACTTATAAATTCAATTTTGAAATATAGACATTTGTTATTATTATTATTAGTTGTTAAAATGCGAATGTGTATTTGTAAATTCACCTATAAACTAATAAATATAAACAACTTGAGTTAAGATTTGTTTTAAACTATTTGATGGTTATTGCGATATAAAAATAAGTTCAGTTTTATCACTTTCTATCCTCCTTGTCTTTCATTTCTATACCACTTGGGTTTTGCGAGTAAGGAATCAAAAGTTCAAAATGATATGGAAATGCTAGAATTCTTATTAAAAGATGTGTCAATATTTAGTACTCGACAGTATTTCAAATGTGATGATCATCACAAGAAAAATACTTGTGATTAGCCCAAAAGAAGAAGAAGAAGAAGATATGATGGAGTTAATTAATAAGTAGGGATTTTAATTAAATTCTATACATTTTTTGTTGTACTGAATTCTTATAATAATATTTTTGTTTTGCACAGGATTTAGATGACTTGTCTATACATATTTTATTTTTTTATTAAATTGTTTGAAAGAACATTTATATAACTATACACGAATATATATATATATATATATATATATATAAAAGAGAAACTATATGAATATAAACTCATTTTTTATCATTTAATTCGTGGATAGTATCAATTAAGATTAATTTGATCATGTCAAACATACATATTTTCTTTTTAAGAAATTATCTATAACAAATAATAAATGCAAAAAGCTTATTTTATTAACAAAAATCCTATACCAAGTCATCCCCCTCCCCAAAAGACTATGGCATTGGTCAAGTTTTCAATTTTTTTTAGCTAAAGTATATTTTAGTTCTTTAACTTTACACAAAGTTTTATTTTGGTCCTTTAGCTTTAAAAAATAACTTTTAGTCCTCTAACTCTAAAACTGTTAACAAAAAATGATGATATTAAACTCTTGAATGCTAATAAAATATCATGAAATACTAACATATTAAATAATATTCAAAACAACTATGATTGTTATAAAAAATTATCATTTAAGACTAACAATTTTGGATTAAAGGTTCAAAAGTATACTTTTTAAAGTTAATGGAACAAACTGAAACCTTACATAAAATTAAAGAATTAAATATATACTTTAGTCATTTTTTTCTTAACATTATATAAATATTATACATTTATGACCACAAGATGAGAGTGGTAAATCTCAATTGCTTTTAAGTGCCTAATACCTAATTATCCGTTTAATGCCACCTAGCATGAAAACGAAACTCCTTTCTCATCGGTCTGTAACCACTCAGCCCAATTTGGAATTTGACGTAAACAACCCAAGGAAACAATTGATGAAATTAATTAGATTGGGTTGGATCTTTGGGCTTATTTTTAAAGTCCAATCCATTAAAGAATGGTTTTTTTACTAAAAGAGGAAAAAGTGATATTTTGGTATCTATAATTTTAGCTCAATATAATTCAGTTCTAATAATTTTTGACTTAATTGAAACTCAATCATTGTGCTGTGAAATATATAATTTGATTTTCTAAAATATATGCACTAATATTTTAAATGATGCGATTGTAAGGATTGAGTTGCGTTGAATAATAATTTAGGGATTATATTATAATCCGGTTAAAAATATAAGAGTTAATTTGTACGAAATTAAAGTTGAGAAATTGGATTTCAATCAATTTAAAATTATAAAAACCAAAAATAGAATTTTCTCTTGAAAAAACACTAACAAAAATAAAACCTGAAGCGAAAAAATTAAACCATTGCTGAGAAGTTTATTGATGATGTTGAATCTTAAAATTACCAAGCACTCCTTGTCCTTATTATTATAGGAGATTCTCAACTAATTCTCATGTTAAGGAATGATAGTTAAAGCATTAGATATGTTCTAAATAGATTAATTTTTTTAAGTTTACCCCAACTTAAATGATTCACGAACTTATTAAATGTAAACCTTAATTAGTAACAAGGGTAAAATTAAAAAGTAGCAATTATCAAGTTAGTCGATGACTTAAATTTAGGGCAAAAAATTACTTCTACAAGATGCCTTATAAATGACAAGAGGAAGTATAAGGCTAAATACATTTGTAACTTGAAACCATAAACAGTGAATAGTTTAAAAGGAAAAGAGAAAAAAAAGAATAACCTACTTTTAACAAAGAACTTCGTGTTATATTGCCTGTCTGCCTAATTAAAAAGACAAAATATCCTTTTATTCTTTAAAGCGGATAATATATGTTAATGTTATTCCAGATCCTCGCATATTCTAAAGTAAGAAATTTAGACCTTGTTTGATTCCTTATTTCCAAAACAATTTTTCTTTTTTTAAAAAATGAAAAAAATTGTTTGGTAAATATTTTTCCATCAGGGTTTTATAAACTGAGAAATGAAAATTTATTTTTTAAAAAATGAAAAAAAAATCAAAACAACTTTTATATATTTTTTGTAAGCGTAGCGTTAACGGTTAAGTGAGAAAGTCTGACTTCAGCGCTGACGTGGCACTCAGCCTCATCATCGTCAAAACGCCTCAACCTCCCTCTCGTTATCATCTACGTGCATTCAAGCTGTGGCAAACCAAAGGCCTCAGCCTCATCGAGCTCTGCAACGCCGTTCAAGAGGGTGGAGATCGGCGATTGAACAGTGAAGCAGCGTGAGGGTAGCGCAAGTTTTCAGCCAATCTTTTCCAATGTCTATAATCCTGCAATCCCTTCCGCCATTGATGGCGCCCCTTCCCACTCCGATCGATTTCCCTTCTCTCTCTCTCGATCTCTGAATCAGTCATGGGAGCTGAATGATCTTGGCCCAACATTTGCTGTTGTGATGATTGAGGTATTTTACTATAAGAATCATGCATCCGTGGGGAAAAAAAAATGATTTAGGAGTTTGTTTTCATCTTCGTTCGAGCTGGTCTTTATGTTGTGGGTGCGTGCCTGATACAGCATCACTTTCTCTGTTCTGTTGGTTTGTTTGTGATTATTACTGAACTCTTCACGTCACTGCTTCGTTCATAAACCCAATCCCTTCACTGCTCCTAAAGAGCTTCAGCAGAAGCACGAGGGTGCTGTTAGAAACTATAGAGGTTACATGATTTGGTTCAGTGGCTTATCACGAGGGTGCTAGCGGAAACTCCATTGAGTTTTCTTGATCTTGTTTTTAAATTTCCCTTTTTTCCCCCTTTCTGATCAATCTTGCTCCAAGTTTTGTGTTATTGTCGGAGCAGAGTTCATCACCTTCTTTTGTTCTTAATCTTGTTTTTGTTTTATTTTTCTTATGACGTGGCAAAGTCACGTCAACAAAATTGGTCAACTGACAGTTAACTCTCCATTAAGATAGGCCAACATTGCTATATTTTTATCATTTCCGAAGCAACATTGCTCTAAAATAAAAAATAAAAAAAAATTAACCAGGCCTCCACAACTCGCAGAAGCTTCGGATGCAAAAATACCGTTTAACCCAAAAATTTTTTTCTATAAAATCGGGCTAAAAGCAAAGAATGATCCTATCTTTGTTTAGCCGCTTAACTGCTCAAGCTCAAGCTCTCTCCTCTTGAATTCAAACTCATTGCAGCTTGATATGATTGTTTTATAACAATCATTCGAACAATGTTTTTTCCTTCCTAAATCTTGTTTTGGAAAAAAAAATTATAAAACTATTCTAAGAACATAACTAAAAACAGAGTAAAAAAAGCCTTAAGTTCCACGTACTCCTAAAAGCTAAATCCCACTGGAAGGAAGAAAACTAAGATCCTTTCTATACATTCATGCATTCACAGCAAGACGCCTACATAAAATTCATATTCTATTTCTATGGTAATCATTTATTTTGCATCTCTTTTTCAACATACTACATTTTTTACTGGGCGTAAAACATCCACATAGATTTCATCCTGGTTCTCTCATGCAGCCTCCTGGAAGAAGAAACTTGAACTTATGTGCATTCTCTATCAAATAAGCAGGAAGATGAACTGCAGAAGCCGATCGTGGGATGGATCCCATCTTTCTAATCAGATCCTGGAAGGAGTATTCTTCAGGGAGCATATCATAAAGATCATCTCCCTTACATATAAGCTCCTGAATTCTCTTATGACCAAGAAAATCCCTCTGTTTTGCCCGGTCTGCGTGACTATAAGCAGTCATTTTAAACACAAACTCAGAAATATACCGAAAGCAGAAGCTGCAGTGCCATCCTGCATCCGAGAAGATCACATTAGTTAATCGAGAGTGTCGGTAACGAGTCAGGGGACCATACAAATTTGCTGTGGCCCGCCAGCTGCTGTAGTCGACAGGGAATTCAAATGAGTACATGTAGTGCTTCAGTTCAAGATGCAAAACAGCAGGAATTTCATCACACCATTGAAGCAGTTTCAATGTGTGAGGGCTAGGAATCTCATCTGTATCTGCCATAAGAAGAATGTCACCATTCATAATCCCTGCATGGTGTAACAATGTATTCATTGCTGCACGTTGCTCTGACTCAAGAACAAAAGGGTCCTGATGTGATCCAGGGGTTGCAACTCGTCCAGGGAACATGCCATGAACAACCTTGTCTGCAGCAAAGGCGAATCTAGCTCGGTTTGAGGCGAAGAATAGAGGTTTTGGAATGCCTGTGAATGTAGTATTGGACTCAAGGATCACAAATTTTGAAACGTAAGGATAAAGTTCTCTCCATCTAATCTCTAGTATGTCTAACTCATTGCTAAAGATGATTGCATCAAAAATGCGACGAGGTTCAGAGCGGAGTGACCAGTCATGGAGGCGGCAGAGATGATCCATGGAGACATTTTCTGCATAATAGTGAGGTAAACGAGTGAAGGGAGCTGGGGGTTTGTCCCAAACAGGTCGGAAGAAGTAAGAAATCTTTTGGCCATGGATGAACAATTCAGCGACAAAAACTATTGCCAACAAAATAAGAAAGACATAGCGCAATTTGGGAGATTTCTGTCTAGTGGTAAGGCGAGTTCGATAAGCCATGTCTTGAAGAGAAAATGTTTGTCAATTGAAGCGATTAACATGTTTGCCCCAGTTCAATGAATTGGATATATCATGTCCATCTGCAAGCTGCATAAGTTTCATCAAAATGGATTAGAATGTAGAAACTTGAATACAGAGTGAACATATTTATGCCATTCAATGTGAATTTTCAAAACCAAACGGTCAAGTACACTTTGCAACAGTTAACTAATATCACCAAGCTGTTCCTCCTCACAGTGAGAAAACATAATGGATTCTCAACATAATTTGGCAAATCAAACATAGGAATGATGTCTTGGATGTATATTAAATTACCTATAACTAATGCTCACAACCATACATATGAATTAGCCATTGAGGTTTAGGTTTCAAAGCCTTAAGCAAGCTTATAAGGCTCTCCAAGACACTAAAACCCATAACAACATTCTTCTTCATTGTCACAAAAATCTGAATTTAACCTCTGCTCTTGAGTAACTGACTGCTTTTCCAATAACAAATATCACCATTGATACCATTGTCCCAGGTAAACAGGATTCATCAACAAAAAATTTGCCATCCAATTAACAGAGTCATCTCAATTAGAACTCATCCACTTAATATTCTCAAATTATCCAACCAAATTTGTTAACACCTTTAAGAGTCTAATTGAACCATATCATTGTGATGAAAAATAACATGAAGCCTCCACATTCATGCATCTGGAGAAAAGACGACACAAATGGGGTCAGAATCCATCATCATAAAACAGAAACAGATGCCTAAAGAGTTGGATGACACCTTAAAAATCTGGAAATTTGTAGGAATCATGAGAGGCAGCCCCCTTGAGCTTCGAGCCAAACAAGAAAACAAAGATGAATCCATCCCCTTCAATGTACAACAAATAGATCCCCATTCAACTGAAAGAAACCGTTTCAACACAGAACAAAATGACGACCGACAGAATCACATCTCAGTCAAGAACTCAAATCATTCGAATTTATTGATACCTCTTGCCTTTATTCTCAGAATAAACCCCCCAAAAGTCATTCTACCAGAAACTTCAAGGTTCACGAATTAGCTTCCTAACCTTCCATAAAACGCAGAAACGCAAGGAAACCAGTTAGAGAGAGGAAAGTACAAAGAAGGCCAAGAAAGGAAACGCAATTACAACACGCGTACCTTAACATTAATGAAGATGAAGAAGAACAGCGAAAGCTAATAGGGTTAAAGTGAAGGCAGGGAAGATTGATTGTGATATGGAAAAGGTAGTGAGAGAGAGAGAGAGACTAGAGAGAGAAAGGGAGAGAGGGGTATTTTTCTGAAATAAAAGAAGAGTGATAGTGGTCATTGTGTGAGATTGACTTGACGCCATTGCGGCATTACCAGCTGAAGTATGTGGTGTTTCGCAAATCTCGAAAATGGAGAAATGGATTTGGACAATTTATTGTGTGATCATTCGCCACTGGACAATCACTTATCACACACGCAATAATTCACTATAAATAGCTTCTACATTAAATACTTATTCTTACTCTTTCCTATTTTAATTATTTTAATTATCCTATTTGATATTTGGCCTTGGCCGGTGAGGTGGTGGCACTATGTGACTTCATCGGTCTTTTTCTTTAAATATATGAAACAATTTCTCTCGTGTTAATGTGTTTAAATATAAGAGATAAATTCTTTTTGTCCAGAATTTTAAATTGTTCTTTACATTTTTAACCTCATTTCATGTATGTCACTCATTATCTCTATAAAAAAATTTTATTTATTATCATTCACATATTGTCTTTATAAATAAGAGTATAACTGAAAAAATATATATACTCCTTTGGTCTTATTCATAGAGCAGAGAGAAGATATTTTTTGGTCATATTTATAGGACACTAAGAGGTTTTTTGTATGAATGTACAATTTTACCCTTCATTTATTATCATGTTGATTTTGTTTATATGACATATTATATATATTAAATGGGGATAAAGTTAGAAAGTTATTGAATTTTAAATGAGAGTTAATAAAATTTTAGGTTTTTCTTAGTTTGTGTCAAAAATGTTAGAAGTAACTTATAAATAGAACTAGAAATATATATCTTTCATATTCATTAGTTTTGATTAAACCTAAATAATATATTGAGTCAGGTGATTTTGATAATTGTTCTTTAAATTAAAGGCAGAGGGAGTTGTTCTTATAGTTTTATTTGCCTTTAATTAGGCCTTTGTGGGTTTTTTATTGGATCCTTACAATTTTCTCAACTGTTGATCTTAGTCCTTTTAATACGTTGATCAGAGCTCATGTGAATGCTAATTAAGCTTAAGATGCTGTAAAATATACTGGCACAAAACGCTATAAAACATAAAATAATAAGAAAAAACACTTTTAAATATAAAGTGATGAAATTTACTGAGTTAAAACTTAAAAGTCATCTTTCTAGAAGTATTTATGAAACAAGTTGGGAGTTGAATTTAGTCCCAAATATAAAAGCTTAATTTACTTTGTCTTTTAAATTTTTTTAAAATACTCCTATTAATTGCAAAGATTTTCATCAAAAAAGTAATGCTAATGTATATAATTAAATAGGGTAATTTAGAAAAGGTAATACATATTTGTTATAAATAACTAATTTATAACTTTTATAGTAGTATTAAGAACTGGAGGTAGTATTATCCTAACTATTAAAAAAATTAATTTTCACCACTAAGAACCGCACTCCTTTAATTCTTAAGTTTTCAGGTAAAGATAGTTAGTTTCTATTTGATGATGCTCCGTCTGGCATTTATTATGAACTTTTATTCTTTTTATAATATCCTATGATAGTTTCAAGGACTATTGAATTTTTTTTGATATTTGTCCATATTTAATATGAGTAGTAAGAGGGTAAAAATTAATATGACGTTCAGCACCAAAAATATTAATATGATATTAAAATTTAGTATAGTTAATAAAGATAATATTAAAAATAACTTAAATTTTATAAAAAAAAATTAAATTTAATTCAATTTATAACATTTGCGTATTTATTATTAATTTATTAATATTAATAGTTCTACTCATTAATGAAGAGAAAGTAAAATGAAAAGCCCACGCGCAAACTACAAAGGAGAATTCCCAGCCGACCTTATTAAACGCATACCATTCTAGTTAAATTCATCAAATTTATCATAAAACTTAAGTGATTTCTGATATTATTTTTATTAATTATAGTAAATTTCAATGCTATATTAATTTCTTCTCTCTCATTATTTTTATTAGATACTTCTTTGATCCTTAATATAAGACCTAATCGAATAGTTAATATTGGCCCTATATGTAAGACTTATTTCGTATGTTTATCAGTTTTTCTAACAAATTAACTTTATTGATATTTTCCTAACAATATCAAGTAGGAGAGGGAAAAAGAACTAAGGAAGATGCTTAAAGTGTTTTAAAAAATATATCGTATTCATTAATTTAACTATCATTTTTAGTCAATATAAATTAGTTAATTAGGTTTTATGCTAAGAATTAGAGGAATTCATACATATGTAAAAAAAAAAAAAAGTTTAATACTTCTTCGATCCTTAATATAAGACCTAATTATTAAGTTAATTTTGGTCCTAAATATATAAAACACATTTTCATATTTATTAATTTTTTTAAATTATCCCTATGAATACTCCTTCAACCATATCAAGTAAGTGAGGAAAGGAGGATATTAAGAAAAATGATTATAGTGTTTTAGGAAAAACATATCATATTTTCTTATAATTAACTAATTTACCTAACTTTCTCAATCTAATCAAATTAGTTAAATAAGTATTATATTAAATATCGAAGAAGTAGTTATTAAAACTAACATGTAGATGTCATAAAAAGGATCAAAGATGTTTTCTAGAAAAGATACAAGTACTAGAGGGGCAATTAAATATGTTGTGTTGGACTGGTAATAAAGAAGATTACTAGTGCTCTTTGCAAGGCTGGGCGGCTTGACTTGGCTTCCCACAGATACCGTAGATGACTGGGTGAGAAACGGATTTTGATTATCCGTGAAATTGTATTTTTGTTTCTTTTGATTTTATACTTATAAATTTTTATTTTTATCCCTTGCGGTGTCTTTCTAATCGTCTTTGTGCACTGTTAAGTTTTTAATTACTTTTTTTTCTTTTTGCCAACAACTTTTCATTTCATACAATATTTGATTTTCATTCTTTCATTTTATAAAGTACTTTTTTAGTCTTTTAATTTTAACACAATTAATTTAGTAGCAAAATGCCAACATTAAAATATTAAATGTCAAAAAAAATTTACAAATGCTTACACATAAATTGTAATTTATTAAAATTAGGATGGTCAGCAAAAAAAATAATAATTTCATACTAATAATATTAGTATTAAATAACTGAAAAGATAATTTATAATTTATAAAATTATGAAGTGATGAAATTCAAACTTTGTATGAAACTAAAAATCCAAATCTGTGCTTATACCTTAATAATTTATTATAAGAATTAACAAGTCCACTTCCAGATACTCTCCTTTTCCTTTTTCTCCTTCTCATAATGTTATGTCGACCTTCAGATAAAAACAACAAGCAACTTAGATTTAATATTTTATAAAATTATCATTATAAAAATAAATAAATTAAAAATATTAAAATTTGATCTACACAACTTTAAAACTGCACTATATTAAAAATAGAAAATGGTTAATTTAAAAAATATAATAATAATAATAATTTTGTAAAATATGAAATCTGAATTTTTTTCCAATAAAAGTTAAACTCATAACTCACATTACTCTAGATTCAAATCCCCCGATTTTGTAATTATTTTTCGCTGGTAGAAACAGGGCAAACGCCATAATATACATCTCACATACGCCATAATGAAAAATACATGATTCGAAGCACTCAAAGTCCTAAGAACAACTAATAAGATTGAGTCTAACAGAAGCGATTGACTCCCACACTATAGTAAACTCAGATTTAAATTCTAATTAGCAAGTTTGCCTACATATAATATTTCGAATATGATTGCCTACCTGTGCCTATAAAAACAAAGTCACAAGAACCTGTGAGATAAAAATAAGAGAGAATTATAATCAGATCCTAAGAACTAGATTTAATTACCTTAAAGTCTATTGACAAGTGAAGAGTAAAAACTTACAAGTCCTAAAATAGAGAATAAAAATAGGTTTAGATTGATCACTTATCATTGAAACTTTTTAGTAATTAAATTTTTTTTTCTTGAGACTTTTTGATAATTCTTTCTAAAAATAATGAACAAACCTCCTTTCTCCATTTGCGATCAAGTCCACCATAAAATAAGGGCTTGTAAACAATTAGTGAGCCGAGTCCATATTACCATTAACCAAAGTTTATGACTAAAAATAATACATGGAACCTGGCAATTTCCAGTTTCAGAATTTTCTCCGGCAGACAGACGAGCAGCCAGCAGAATTAGCCTCTGAGCCACTTCATTACAAGGTCCTTGAACAAGCGAAAGACTTTCAGATAACAAAATATCGGTTCCTACTACAACTTAGAGGGATGGTGTTGGATTGTCTGTCTTTATTAAATTTATTTGAGGGTCATCATATGTAAATTTAGGTGTGTTTGTTAATCCGTTTTTCGGAGGAGGCTTTATAATCCAATCCGCATGGTCATGAAAATCAGGGTAGGAACAACCTATTAAACCTTAAATATTTTACCAAAAAAGAATCAAAAGAGAACTTATCTATAAAAAGAATCACAACTGTTATTTATGATAAACATACAATTTGCAAGCAAGGTGTTGGTTAACCTTGCTCTGACCTTTTGAAGTAACATATCATATATTCAGTACAAAAAAATCTCTACAAATTTTCACAACAAGAATTGTTGATGCCCTACGGTCTGAGGAGCTAAAATTGGAATTGAATGTATTGTATATAATGTAATACAAGAAAAATCTCAAATACAAACATCTTGTAATGGTCTTCTTCAAATTCTAAGGTTAAAAACAAGCAAATGAAACTGGGAATCATGATGAAGATGTGGCTTTAGGCTCTGAATCTGGCAACCATTTCCAGACAGTGAACAAACCAGTGCCGTCTCCAGTGAAAAAGAGTCCGCCAGGGCCTTCTCTATTACTCTCATCTCTTGCTTTGAAAATAATCTTCCTCTTGCAGCAAACCTGACCAAAGAAGAAATACTCCTCCAATTCTAAATATAAGACCCTTATACACAATAGGACCGGAGGAGTACAAGATCAAGTCCTGATTACTCACAATATTAACCCAAAATAAATATGGAAAATTGGAAACATGAAGTCTACTCACGATGGCATTTCATATAGCCCAACTGAATGGTTGTTGCACGAACAAAACAATACGGGTTTCCCTTTTGCATCAATCATCCCGTTGATTCTAACCACACCCTATAACATCACAAAGCATATATATTAGAGGGATTTCTGACAACATAACATGCATGTGAATTCCACAAAATTGATGCGCCCATAATTTCCTTTTCATTTCTAAGTATGTTTGATAACTAATCCCAAAGATTCGGGAAGATATAATTTCATCCAATCGGATTTGAGAAAATCAAAACCTTCTATAGAACATCTTCACTGTTAAGATATTATGTCAGCAGCATTTTAGCCTTTTGTGCATGTTAATAAACGAATTCCTTTCTCAGTGCAAAATAAAAATTTAATACCTTTTACCAAAAAATTCAGTACCAACACTAAGCCACAACCAAATTAATAGTATATCTTTTCCATTGGACATAAAATTACAAAACAGAACACAATCTAAAATCTAGAACGCAATTCTAGATTCACAATACACACTATTTATCTAAATAAACTCACACTTTGTTCATGGTGCGTGTGTACTACTTCCAAAGTTTCTCTCTGAGTGGCAGCCCAAAGCTTTACTGTGTTGTCTAATGAACTTGAGAATAAGTATTGGTCCCAGAAAATAAGGGATGTCACCATGTCCGTGTGCCCTTTTAACGTCATAGCACATTGTAATGTGTTGAGATCTCAAACCTGAGAAATTTATAAATCAATAAATCAAGAAATCTCAACAACAACATATAATGCTAATGAAGACAAATAATGAAATCATGCCTGCTTAACTAATGGAGATGGTTTTCTTATTAAACATATAATTAGGCAAATAATGCAAGATCTAATTCCATACAAGACATATGATCTCAAAATATAATGTATTCTCAGTTTAATTTTAAATGATTTTTCACCCTACACCATTCAACTATTACGCAATTGATTTTAAAAAAAATTGATGACAAAAAGATGTAAAATCACAACACAATAAGAGCAGTGACTCAAAACCTACATGAAGACCACCGGAATATCAAATTTGTCCGAAGTAATCATCTTTTTTTGATACAAATTTGTCCGAAGCAATCATCTAGCCGAAAGATATTACATATCCATAACAAACCACCATATGGGTTAACAACTACTAAGCCCAAAGATATTACATATCCATATTATCAAATTTGCAGGCATACCTTGATGCTATGATCCACAGAACCTGAGTACAGCTTGTCCCCAAGTCCACCAGTTAAGCAAACAACAGCTCTGGTGTGGCCATTCAACGTTGCCACTAATTTAAATGGGAAATTTGCTTCAGAACTAGGTCTCCATGCATAAATAACACCATCCTACAATATGAAGACAAAGTGAGATCATATTAATACCAGATGCATATCATAAAGAATAGAAAATACTCCTCCAGTTCTAAATATAAGACATATTCTGTAGTGTAATTTACACTACAGAATAGGTCTTATATTTAGGAGTGGAGGAATATCATATTAAATATAAAAGATACAATTACCATTGCTCCAGCAAAAAGTGTATCGTTGCAAACAGCCATGGAAAGTACAGGACCCTTAGGTCCATCAAGAGTGATCTCAGCGGCCGTCTGAATGTTCCATGCCTTCATAATAACCACAATCACACAACCAATTTCCAGTTAACTCAGTCACAGAAAAGATGAATGGCACACAAAACGCAATCACATGGAGAGGTTCAAGTGCTTACCTTAACAGCATTCCACATCCCCCCCCCCCTCTCTGTGTTTCTTGCCAAACACTCCTGAGAGGTGGCTCTCTCACGCAGTCTCTATTTATGGGCAGCATTTGTGGAGCCATGTAATTATATTTTTAGGTGATTTAAATCCTAATAAGTGCTTTGAAAAATCCAGATTTCCTAAATCTTCGGTTTTTTTTCATTTTCATCATTCGATCGTGAAATAGCTAATCTGTATTTACCTAATTTTTTTTTATTTTTTACTTTATCAACTCACTATAATTTGATTTTATTATAATGAAATCCTTATATTTTTTATCTTTATTTTTAATCAGCTACTTAAAATCGAAAGGAATTGGTTAAAAATTGTTTGAATCTATGAGAACTTAATAAAAAGGAAAAATGGTACAACTGCCTATAAAAAGAAAAAAAAATTCAAAAACATGATAGAAAGAAAAAATATAGAGGGCTTATTAAAAAATAGTTAAAACTATAACCTATAAGTTAATTATTCCATCAAAATTGTTAAAAGAATGCGAAAATAAGTTTCAAAGAATTAGATTATATTTGTTCTGAAAATATATTGGATTCTATGAAGTGGTTTGATGAAATTTATCCAACCTGTGATGTGTTAAATCCTATATTTTTTATATTTTAAATTTTTTATTATTTAGTATAACTTCCAACAATTTTTTTTATTTTTAATTATTTTAAATTTCAATACTAATTTTAAATTCGCCCCGAAGGATGAAATGAAGAATAAAATACCCACCCAAAGTAAATTAAGAAAACAAAACACATTTTTATTTTCCTTTTCCCCCTTTACGCTGCAATTTTATTATTACTTTCATTAGAAGTACATCTATTTATATATCTAATTATCCATATCGACAGATAAAACTAGATCCAGGAAGTTAAATGATCACAAATCTAGTCTTCTTAGATCATGAAAATTTAATCTTAAATTTAATATAATTTTTAGGTTAAATGATCTACCAACATATCTCATAATCAAAGTTGAAAAACTAAATGTGATATAAAATTTTCTGATATCATGTAAAATATTTGAGCTATTTTATATTTTAAAGATATTTATATTTCCAAAATATAAATTTGCAATGTTTAATGATCAATTAAATTTGAATGCCTTATGATTATAAAAATTATCAATTTCAACCAATACAAAAACCGCATTGTAAAATTATTAACATTTAGCATTAAAATGAAATAAAATTGATATTTTAGATCTTTTACTTAATATTTTTTGAATAAATTTCAAAAGTTTGTTTTTTATCATTATATAGTTTTCCATGTATTCAGACCTTAAATCAATCAGCAATTTCAAGTTCATTATGGATATTTAAGATTTTATATAAGTAAAATTATACTATATAATAAATAGTTAAAGGTATTATGTGCATATATATTTTAATAACTAATGGCAAATTTAATTATAATTCAAGAAAAAATATAAATACCATATTAGAAAATAAATAGATCGATATATATTTTTTCCAATTGCGAATAAAATGCTTTAATTTTTTAACGACATTAAGATAAATTTACTCGTTTGTTTATATTTTTATGGCAATGATCTTAAATATTCATAATTTAGCCGGCTAATTCTTATACTAAGTACTATACCATTGGAGCTTTTGCTTTCACTGAGTAGTTAAAGTTCCAATGCTGCGCGTCAAGAGAGAACTTATGAATAAGAAGAATCACAACTACTAATTATGACGAGTCTATTAGTAAGCAAGGTGTTGGTTAACCGAGCTGTGACATTTTGAAGTAACATATTGTACATTTTCAATACCAAAAAAAAAAAAAAAACTATACAAATTTTCACAAGAAGAATTGTTGATGCCGTACGTTCATTACATAATGAGGAGTTAAAATTGGAATTGAATGTATTGTATATAATGTAATACAAGCAAAATCTTAAATACAAACATTTTGTTAGTTCTCCTAACTCTAAGGTTAAAAGCAAGCAAATATGATTGGGAATCATGAAGATGTGGTGTTAGGCTCCCACTCTGGCAGCCATTTCCAGACAGTGAGCAAACCAGTTCCGTCTCCAGTGAAAAAAAGTCCACCGGGGCCTTCTTCTATTACCCTAATCTCTTGTTTTGAGAACAATCTTCCTCTCGCAGCAAACCTGACCCAAAAAGAAACACAAGATAGATCAAGGCCTGATAGCTCAATATTAAATCAAAATAAAAATGGAAACATGAAGTATGCTCACGATGGCATTTCATATAGCCCAACTGAATGGTTGTTGCACGAGCAAAACAATATGGGTTTTCCTTTCGCATCAATCATCCCGTTGATTCTGACCACACCCTACAGCATCCAAACAGATCTGAGAAAATTAAAGCCTCTACAGAACATCTTCACTGTCAAGATATTATCCTTTTGTACTTGTTAGTAAACGAATTCCTTCCTCAGTGCAAAATAACAATCTAATATCTTTTACCAAAAAATTCAATACCAACATTAAGCCGCCACCAACCAAAACAGAACATGCAGAACAACAATAGTCCGGTAGGATGGGCAACGAAGTACACAGAATTAGTAGCTTCAGTACCTATAGTTATTTAAGATGCAACTAAAATCTGAAACACAATTGTAGATTCACAGTATACACTGTTTATCTAAATAAACTCACACTTTGTTCATGGTGCGTGTGTACTACTTCCAAAGTTTCCTTTTGAGTGGCAGTCCAAAGCTTTACTGTGCCGTCTAATGAACTTGAGAATAAGTATTGGTCCCAGAAAATAAGGGATGTCACTATGTCCGTGTGCCCTTTCAACGTCATCACAGATTGTAATGAGTTGAGATCCCAAACCTGAGAAAATAAGAAATCAGTAAATCATCTCAAACAAATGTCAACAACAGCACATAATACTAATGAAGACAAATAATGAAATCATGCCTGCTTAACTAATGCAGGTGGTTTTCCATATGATTAGGCAAATAATGCAAGATCTATTTCAGATAATAGATAAAATCTCAAAATATAATGTATTCTCAGTTTTATTTTAAATGAGTTTTCACCCTACACCATTCAACTATTACGCAATTGATTTTAAAAAACTGACGACGCAAAAAATGTCAAAATAAGAGCAGTGACTCAAAACCTACATGAAGACGACCAGAATATCAAATTTGTACAGCGTAATCATCTCGCCCAAAGATATTAGAGATCCATAACAAACCATTATATGGGTTAACAACTACTCAGCCTAAAAGAAGGAACTTGTCATTGATTTGCGGGCATACCTTGATGCTATGATCCACAGAACCTGAGTACAGCTTGTCCCCAGGTCCACCAGTTAAGCAAACAACAGCTCTGGTGTGGCCATTCAACGTTGCCAATAATTTAAATGGGAAATTTGCTTCAGAACTGGATCTCCATGCGTAAATAACACCATCCTACAAAATAAGACAAAGTTAGATCATATTAATACCAGACGCGTGTCATGAAGAAGAGACAATATCATATTAAATATAAAAGATATAATTACCATTGCTCCAGCAAAAAGTGTATCGTTGCAAACAGCCATGGAAAGTACAGTACCCTTAGGTCCATCAACAGTGATCTCAGCAGCCGTCTGAATGTTCCATGCCTCCATAATAACCACAACCACGCAATCAATTTCCAGTTAACTCAGTCACACAAAAGATGAATGGCACAAAAAAAGCAATCACATGGAGAGGTTCATGTGCTTACCTTAATAGCATTCCGCAATCCTGCAAACACCCAAGAACCCATACTGATCAAACACCTTGCTTCATCACCCAGATCTATGACGCTAACACATTGACCAGTATGACAGTCCCACACCCGAAGTGTCCCATCAGTGCTACAAGAAAAAAGTTTGTCGGATTCAACTGGAAGTGTAATCCCAGTGACAATCTGTAGTCATAGTTTAAGGTTTAGTACTCAAGCAAAACGCTGGTATATAAAAGGATACGACAAATACCCAGCGCATAATCCAGTGAAGAAATCATAGAAAGGGTTGGTAATTAAATGGAAGTCAAGTATGTACCGTCTTGTGTTGGTGAAGCTTAGTGAGCACAGAAAGGCCATCGCCTTGAAACCAGGAATGCAAGTTCCAACAACGATCGCCATGTACGCAGTTCCCATTGATCCAGTACTTACAAATTTGAGGTGAATTGCCTTTGGCAATAGAGGATCTTATGCCATCTGATTGAGGCTTGTTAAGCAATTCATTCCTACGAGACTTGTTAACCGAGTAAGGGGACTTCCTCCTGCATTGATAAGGAGTATTACGTGGGGTGGACGGTAGTGAAGTCTCACTGCGCACAAACCTGCAGGGCTTATTGGTGTGACGCCCTACAACCCAATTATTGCAAGTGTCCTTCTTATAAGGAACCTCACTTCTCCTTCCTACCCTTGTAGTCATTCTATAGAAAGAAATTGGAATCAGAACATATCAAGCCAGCTAGTCATCGATCTTTCATAATTCAATAGTAATTCATATTCATAACACCCAACAATGCCAACGGTATTTTAAACACGTCCTTACTTGAAACACAAGTTAACGTCACCAAGAAATAAGTTTGCATCCATAATAACAATTTGACGTATGTACAAACAACCGTTCGAAAAACTTCTTAACTTTTTTCTTTATAAACTCTGGAAAATCTAGTTAAAATAAACACGAATATAACTTTAAAAAACTAAAAAAGTCCGATGAACATGTGTGGCTGCCGTTTTATGCGTTTGCCCGTTGCCTGGCCGGCCGGTAGCCACAGAGAGCTCGGGTGGCTGGGATTAACTTGTAATTGCTAAGTAATCTCAAAAAGCATCAAACGACCAAAATAATCCTAATAGATTAACCTAGCAAGTGATCACGGAAGTATTCTCGTTTTACATAACTTGGGGCAGTGTTAATTGCGAGTTCAAACGTTTAATTGATAAGAAAACCGACGTACCTTCGCGATCGATTCTGCCTCTTCGTATTTCCGTCAAATGTTAGACCTATCGTTCTCAATCTCCCGATTACTTTTCGACTCTCTCACTCTCTCTCTCTCTCTCTCTCTCTCTCTCTCTCACTGTTTCTCTCTGTGTTTCTTGTCGAGCACTCCAGCGGGCTGGCTTTTCCCCGCGGCCTCTATTTATAGGCGGTATCTGTAGAGCCACGGAATCATTTTTTTCAAGTGTTTTTTTTTTTTGGCCACCTTTTGAGTGATCTCCTAAATAATAAATCTGTATTTACCTAATTTTTAATTAAGTATTTGAATTTTTTTATTTTATCAACTCACTATCGTTTTACCTCATTTTAATTATCTCCTTGTAATACTTTTATTAGACTCTCATAGTTTGACACACTTTTTAATGAATTTCTTGTAGTAGCTCCTGTCTTTACTTTTAATCAGCTACTTAAAATTGAAGAGAGTTGAATAAAAATCGTGTCAATCTATAAGAACTTGATGAAAAAAAATGATGTGAAGACCTAATAAAAAATTAAAAAAAAGGATTAAAAAATACAGAGATACGATTAAAAGTCAGTTAAGACTTAAAACTATAAAATCTAATGAATTAATTATTGCAACAAATTTTTTAAAATATGGCGAAGATAAGTTTCAAAGAATTAGATTATATATATATTGGTTCTCAAATTATATTTTATCTCTATAAAGTGGTTTGATGAAATTTTTTTTTTTTGGATAAAAAGTATGATGAAATTTATCCATCTTCATAGATGTCGTGTTAAATCCTATATTTTTACATTTTTTTTTAAGTTTTTCGTTATAATTTTCAATAAAAAAAACTATTTTTATTTTTACTTATTTTACATTTAGATTCTAATTTTAGATTGACTCAAACGACCAGATGCAGACTAGAAAAACCCGCACAAATTAAATTATAATTACTTAAATAATTAACCAAACAAACCACTTTTATTTTCCTTTTCCCCTTGAATACTTCGATTTTATTATTACCCTCATTAGCAGTACATCTATTTATATATTCAATTATCTATGAGTCCAGATAAAAAGAGATTTATTGGAAATTAAATGACTGCAAAGAATTAGATTTTATATGTATACATACATACATATATATATATAGGTCAAAAGACTATATATATTGGTTCTGAAAATTTATTTGATCTCTGTAAAGTGGTCTGATGAAATTTATCCAACCTATGACGTGTTATATTCTATATTTTTAGTTTTTCAATTTTTATTATTTAATATAATTTTTAAAAATATTTTTTATTTTAACTTTTTTAAAATTTAAATACTAATTTGAAATTCTCTCAAACAACCAAATGAAGACTAAAAAATCCGCAGAAATTAAATTATGAAAGCAAAACACATTTTTATTTTCCTTTTCCCCGAATCTTATATTTTTATTTTCATTAGCAGTACATTTATTTATATATCTAATTATCTATATCTCCAGATAAAAACAGCTCCACGTGAAGCTAAATGATCAAAAATCTATTCTTCTTCGGTTAAATGATCTACCAGCGTATCTCAATGTATACAATTTTTTGATATCATATAAAATATATGAACTATTTAATATTTTAAAGATATTTATCCATGTATTCAGACCTTAACTCATTAAGTCAATCAGCAATTTCAAGTTCATTATGAATATTTAAGATTTTTTAAAAGTAAAATTATACTGTTTAATAAATAATTAAATTCGAGTGTATTATGTGTATATATATTTTAATCACCAATGGTGAAATTCATTATAATTCACATTAAAATATAAACACCATATTAGAAAATAAATGGATTGATACTTTTTTTCAATTGTGATTAGCATGCTGACTTTTGTTATTAAGATATCTAAGATAAATTTATTCGTTTGTTTACAATTGTTGGCAGAATTCCATCGTTTATCAAATGATCTTTTAACTTTGTAACCGTCATATTAAGAGTAGTGATTGATAAATGATCATGCAAGTCTTGCTTATTTTTTTAAAATTAAAAGAGTTTCATAAACAGCATATTAAAGAAGTTATTTTCACTAAGGAAAAGAAAAGTCAGTTTTGAAAACTTCGAAATCCGGATTTCAATCTAACCAGCTTTATTTTTTTTGGCAAGCCATGTCCACATATTAAAAATAATTATATTCGAGACACTATGTGATTACTTTTTTTTTTTTAATTTTTTCCTCTCCTTGGGCCAACGGTTACCTATTTTTACTCAAAACACATTTCTTCACCTCGAACTAATAACTTTGCAACCCAAAGAGGCCAGGTCGGGCCCAATGAACGGTATGCCCAACAAGCTCTGATCACCCAAGTATTTAAACTAGAATTTTTCATCCCTTGTGCAGCGAAAAAAGTGGTTTCCTGGTTCTGTCTGTTGAAAAGAACATTCCACCTAGCTCCCAGATTAACAATAACATGGGTCAAGGAAATCAGCCATCAAGTACATATGAAAGGAATCATTAAAAAATGCACTATAACATGTCAAAATCATCTCAACTACAGAATCAATAATTACACATAGAAGCAAGCACGACATTGATGGTCATCACCGAGATAATTCTGTATAAAGTGATTTATTCACTCACAATACTTCATCATCTTGCTGAGAGTATAACGAGCCATCATCAATTGGCAGTGAGGGAGGTGTTCCGGGCGGTATACAGGCCGCGCCGTTCTCGCCAGCACATATGCAGAGAGCCTCGGCATCTCTGAGAGTTGCATCAAGGTCAATTTGACCACTTAGCTCATTTATGAACTTCAACAGTGTGTCGAAGTCCATCTCCTCTCCTATTATTTTATTACGGTAACGTTTCAAGATTGCTACGCACATATACAGATGCAGATGCTCTGATAGATGATGTGTCCACAAGACTTCCCATAATCGCATAGTCTTTTCGTACTCAAACTCCCTGTAATGTGAAACCAAACTTCAATTTTACTATTGTTTGATAACAAATCAGTATTGCAAATACATATTTCTGAGACAAGCCAATGCAAGATCCTTGGTTAATCAACTAACGGCAGTCTTTCACTGATGGTTTTGCTAAATTTGGTTCCATTTTCTAATCAGCGACCAAACTGATAAATGATGTAACCTTCCGAAAGTAAAAGGGTCTGCAAGACGTCAAGCACTTCAGGGGTCAAATAATGAAAGAATCAAACGCCCCTCGGATAAAAAACCAAATAATAATAATTTGTCTACAGTTGGGGTGTGTGTGTGGGTGTGTATGGGAAACTTATCAAGTAGCGAAGTGTGTGTAAGGATCTTCTAGAATCCTTTGAATCTCAGTTTGGTGAAAGAGATACAAAGAGCGGAAGTGTAGATGAGGCCCACTTCCTCTTTTTTCTTTTTTCCGTAGTCCATCCTATCTCACTTCTCTCAGAACTTCACAAAAACTTCATCACTAAAAATTTATTTAAAAAAAAAAAAAAAAAAGCTCTAGAGGATTCAAACTGCATAATGGTACATCCTTCAAGGAAAGGAAGATAATATTTAAAGCATAAACATATTAAAAAAATTTAGCATGACAGATGACTTGGACCACAATCAGCTAATCACAAATCCAATATTGACTCTTCAGCAATTAATTCAAACAGAACCGCCAAGCAAGAAATGGAAGAGAAAGTCATCGCGAAGAAAATATTTCAGGAAGGAGCTCCCAAGTAAGCACTCCCTAAAAACAGATCTGAAAAGGAAACCAGCTGAGATTGCAGAAAACTTGAAGCTACGCCCGATAAATGACAGTCAAACTAGTCTTTTTGCGCTGCTATGGTAAAATAATTTTGAAATCATACGTTGGGGGGGGGGTGGGGGCAGACCACAATAAACGCCAGATATTCCCTGGAAAAACAACAATGTAGAAATTAATATAAACCTGACCTTTTAAATTGAATTAAAATCCAGCGGAAACAAAAGAAGTAATTCAGACAGTCGTGCTGCTTGAAATAGTTATGTAAAGAACCATCTAGCAACTCCACCAACTGCAATATAGAAATACAATATTGGTAAGGCATCATGACTATATGTAAAAAAAAAAAAAAAAAAAAAAAACGATTTTTTCTTAGACAACTTGGGAATCTTGGTAAACTAGCTGAACAGCGAATCATGCCAGAGCCAGGAGCACAACCTATTAATACATAATAGGTACAAAATTTTACTATATCTAAAACAATTTTCGCAGCATACATTGCACTCTGTGTGAGTGAGAGTGAGTGAGTGAGAGAGAGAGAGAGAGAGAGAGAGAGAGACCTTAGATAATGCAAAAAGTTGAGAATGCATGCCATTTTGGTCACGATTAAAGTTGGGTCCAAGACGTTCCATTAAAGCAACGAAACACCAAAATGCCTCTGACTCATCATCCATTACATATAAGATAGGGGACAGAAGATCACTCATACCCTGTAAAACATCATTTAAATTGTGGCTGTCACGTGTTGAACCAGAGGGAAGAAACAGATGAACATGAACAATGCTTTTGTATCAAACTATCAATTCATATATTCAAGATTACGGCTAATAATGATGGCTAAGAAATAGACATTTAATCCCCTACGATTCAACCCATATATTCTGCATGCCATCAGAAAATATTGCCCTTAAAAGATATCCTCTAATACTACCTTTGGCAATTTATGATAGAAACATTATTATAATTTCTACATATGCGTGTGTTACTCTTAGAATATAAGAACTTTTTCTGGTGAAGAAGTGGGAGGAGGAAGAGTAGTACAGGATGATAAATAAGGAGGAGCCTCGTCTATTGATTCCAGGTATCAGAATTTACTTTGATTTGGAAACATCGTATCTACACGACATTTCCACCATGGCTGCAATTAATCTATTATTATAAGCTCTGTTTTTAGCAGGAAGACCAAACACACATATCAGAAGTTATCATTTCACAGTTTCTGAAAAACATTTTGGAAGATATCAAACAGGATTTCTGATTTTAAATCATTTAAAAAATAAAAAAAAAAATTTCCTATCTGATGACCATTGAAAAGGATTAAGAGAAAAATAGTGCTTAGAACAACTAAAACGAAGCAAGTTCAAGGCCAGAGTCCAGTATCAACAACCATTTACCTGACAATAACCAAGATCAAAGTTGTAGAATGAATATGTCAATAGTATGTCTCGTAGAACATTCACATTTGGATTGTCATCCCCATCATAGAAACCAATTGATCTGTCCGTCCTTACCTTTATAATAAAGGGGGAAAACGATGGTTATACATTACAACTAGAAAAAGCATCACTCAGCTTTTCTTTCTCATAACTTCCAATAATTCAGAAACATTTGCACTAGTTTCCAGCTTACCACATCTTTCTCTATAAGGCCCTTCCTTTCCCTGAATTTTGTGAATCTTCTAGCTTGTGCTGACGAAATGCTCTACAAAGAGAAATACATAAACAAGTTTACTTTGACGTAAATATTTAGTTGAGGACACTGAATAACAAGACTTTTCTAGATCCAAACGCCTGCAATGTACATTGATGAAAATTACGAGAAAGAAAGGACAGCAAACATCAAAAGGACTTGGGATACCTGAAGGACTAGGTACCAACGATGTAGACCGGTTCATCAAATCAAGATAACATGCTATAACTGACGAGATAAAAAGAACAATAGACTGACCCCCATACAATCACATAACTTCCTTTTTTAAAATTTAGAAAGATGCGCTTAATTGAATAGTAAGAATGAAGAAAAGGAAGTGAATGAACGAAAAAGCACACAGGATAAAAGGAAAACCTTCCACTGGTTTTTAACTGTCTCGTACTCTGACTTCTTGAGAGACTTCAGATATTCCCTCTCAGCATATGTTGAATCATGTGAATGGTAACCCAACAGCAAACCCCAAACCTATTAATATAAAGAGAGGACAACATATTTAAATTGGAAACAAAATTCTTGGCCAGTACTCGACCTCTTCTAACATGATTTGGAATGCTCAACGTCACGGGAACTCATTACATAAAAATAATAAACAAACCTCCTTTCGTAATTTGTGATCAAGTCCACCATAAAATATCCTCTTTCTCAAAGCCTTTAAGTCTGTAACTCGTCCTTCAGAGTCCAAAAAAGTAATCCACTGCAAAAGTATGATCTATAAGCATTAAGGCAAATGACATTCGCAAACTTCCAGGATAACTCTTGCAGCATTGCTTAATGGAATAGCACGAATGACTTCCTCATCATTAATGATAATCAGACAAAAATAGTTGTAGCTTTATCTCTGGCTTGTAAGGTGATGAAGCAATGAAAGTCACCAGTCAGTTTCCAGGTAACAAGCAGCAACTGGCATACAGTAGCTTGAAATAAATATGTACCAGAGTTGCATCATCAGCAATAAACCTTTACATAAGTTTCATACTATGTTTCAATTCAAATTTAAGGCTCAGTAAGTTTTCGTTTAGGGAGGAAAACCATCATAGTTGTCATATATTACTGTTACTTAACGCCTCCACATTTATAAAATAATGGAAACAGAATATAAATAAGACCAATATTTAGAACACACTTAGGAATCATATATTGATTAAAATTTCATCCAGAGAATATTTTGATGCTATCCTATGTCAAGACGAAGAAAAGACATGTATGATTCCTGATGAAATAATTAGATGGCTAGGTTAAGGGTGAGTATAAACAGTTATGGGCTGAGTCCATATTAGCTGCACTACATTTGACCAAGTTTTATGACTGTAAATAGACATACATGGAGCCTGGCAATGTTCAGTTGGTGAACACGAAAATATTCCTATCTCTTTATTATTCACTAGCTAATTTACACACATAACATCAAATACACACAATAGATATCTCAGCTACTTACTGCTATGTTTCCAAGTTTTGAGACTATAATAAGGGAGGTCCACAGATTATTATAGAAATGACTACGAACAATATAAAATTAACTCGTATTATTTCCTTAAAATACCTCATTTGAGAATATAAGGGGAATAGTACTTTTTTCAAAGGGAAGTTTACAATTGGCTGAGGGTGAGTATATACAATTAGGCTAGTCCACATTAGCTGTCCTACCTTTCACCAAATTATGACTATATATAGACAGGGAACCTGACCATGTTCAGCTGGTGAACCCAACAATATTCCTATCTTATTTATCCTTTGCTAGCTAATTTATATGCATACAATCAAATATACACACAATAAATATCTCAGCCACTTTAATGCTAAGTTTTCATGTTTTGAGATTAAAATAAGGGAGGTCAACAGACTAACATAGAAATCACGAAACGACTGTTCTTATTTCCTTCATATGCCTCATATAAGAATATAGGGGGACGTAATTTTTTTTCAGAGTTTAGTTTATACCTGGTTAAATCATTTGAACATTAAATAAACATAAGATGATGAAAAGAACATCTTTAACGTAAATCATGTCAACCAAGAAGACATAATGAGGCTTCTGGTGAACTTGGCGTAAAAATTGAGACTTTGATGCCGTACATCCACCATTTGATCCCCAACTTGTTGAAACAGTAGCATATAGCCATTTGCACACCAATCATCATGATAAGAAAGATATGCATTTCCGAAAAGAAAAAAACTGAAGGAGTTGTATGATTGAAGAACATCTTACAGAACAACAGCTCATACCTCTTCAAACCCTAGAGGGGGTTGGCGTGGTTTTCCCCAAATAAGTGATAATTCATCAAACTGCCAGAAGAGGAACAAAACAGAATACCATTGACATTATATACTTTAAAAGGGAAAGATATGTTGTCAAACTATTTTGGAAAGAATCAAATAATGAGCATACTAGCATACATGGCATGTACACAACTCTTATTACGAAAATAATGTCCAGACTAAGTAATTCAATTACCACTATTTCTAACCCCTTGTGACAGCTCTACATGAATACCTAAAAGCCAACACATTAGTTACAATAAGGGAAAGCAATTCACATATAATTAATCAAACATTTGGCTAAGTTTATGTTAGGTGCATTGAGTAAGTAATAGGAAGTGCTTTTGTATGTTACAGTAAGTTGTTGAAAGAAGGGAGCTAGTTAGTAAGAGAATAGTCCTACTCAACGCATTAAGTATGCATAGAGAGAGTCTGTATGACCATAAAATTACGCAAATACCCATTCCTTCAATTATCAGTAAGGTAGTGATTTTTTACAAGCTCAGAATCATACTTCTGAGGGAGGGAAAAACCACACCAATGCAAACCCAGAGACTAGATTTTCCTGTACCTCCTTACAACTGATAATCTCAAAAGTTCCCACACTGGTGGCAACTTCTTCACCATATTTGTGTTTTAAACAAGAAACATTCTGTTTAAGAAAATGAAGTTCTGCATCAGATGGTCCAAGAACAGCACTTCAAACTCCTCAACTAAGATAACACAAGCACGGAATTGCACTAAGAGGAAACTTTGGATTAAGTGATTTCATAATGAGTAGATTTTTCATTTAGGCTCCCATCTTTGATTACAAAATCCCACAGGTCGTTCCCGGCACAACATAGATCATCTTAAGCACTAAATAATTTAAACTAAGCCTGATGGAATATAAATTTCTCAACAATGCCAAAAGCATTGCCCCACTCTAAGTAAATAGGATAACAAACTAATTACTTTTACACACTCAACAGAGTAAGAAATCCCAACATAAACATTCATAGGAAAAAGGATAACAAATGCGCACAATAACAACACTATTTTCTAAAACAAGAGACAGCATTAACAAAGAACTTAATATAATGACATAAACATATTGTGCTAAAGTATAATAAATAAAAATATATAGTAAAGTATAATATCATTCTATTAATATTATCTGAAACTAAACACAGTTTGGAAAAGGGAGGCTCAAACATACTGCATTGATTTTACCACAGAGCTCCATTCATCATCTTAACTATTTATTTGATATTGAGGTTTAAAGATGACAACATAATGAGCAGTAGAGGGCTAATCAGAAAATTCCAAACCAAATTCACGATAAATGTTTACCTCTGAATTCAACAAAGCTGGACTTTCATGAGGAACTTTTCCTGCAACACTGGAAGCTTTTTTAGGATGACCAGGGAGTGCAGGAGTATGGATATTGGTTCTTCTGTAATTGGGATCATATCCATTACTGTGATGTTCACTGAATAATTGAGATGTCGTTTCACGGGCAAATTTGGTCACACGAGAAAACTTCTCTAAAACTTGAATAGAAAGATCTCGAGCAGGATCATGAACTTTATTTCTTGGTCTCCCATGATAATGGAAAGCACTAGCACTTCCATCATTGACACCACTCCCTTGGTTCTCATCTAAAGAGGACTCATCAAGTGACATGTTTGAAGGACCGCGTGCAAGAGGAATGGCTCTGGGCAGCTCCAAAGAAGATAAAGTTTTCTGAAAGCCAATCCAAACATGAGAATCTTTAGAGAGCAAAATAATAGGCCACAGAATTCAATTATATATATTAAGTAAGACTTCATAAACCTAAGGGGAAATTCCAAATTTTTAAAGATTTTTCCTACATGCTCCCAAAGGGGAAGGTTACCGTACATTTCTCTAAAGTCTGAACCAACGTTAAATACTTTGATTACAGGGACTGGCAAGATGGATATGTTACCATAATACGTATCTTTAGTTATGTATATTTTCTTTTATATATGTTGTTGATACTGCTGCAGAGGATTAGGCATTAATGATCCAGTTGCTAAAACTAATCAAATAACTTCACTTGAATATTGCATACCTGTAGAGGATCTTGAAAATCATTGACAAGAAATAAGTTTACATCATCTGCAGATCTGGAAAAATCCAACATAAAAGGAGGAAAAATATTAATTTTTTCTGCATTTAGACTTGAGAAGGACCAGTATAGAGAGATTTTGGAACAAATTCGTAAAAGTATATTTTTCTGGCAATACAATGATGAAAACGAATTTGAAACTGAAAGCATATAAATTGAATTAGCGCTACATGAAAACAGTGATTTAGTGCATGAGAAAGAGCAAAAGGCTAGTGGCATAAAACTACAGTACATAAATTACTACGATATGCCAAATTAACTTATCTTTAACAGCAACAGAAAGGGAAAATATATTGTAAAATGAATAAACTAGTAGGAAGAAGCTCACCAACTTAGTGCATATAAATTAATTATCACAAAAAAAAAAAAAAAGATGAACTAAGTCATACACAAACGGATGTCCTCAGGGATTTAAGACATGCTTCAATAATCAAATCAATCTTGGAGACAACTAAGTGTTCCATTTCTTTTTTACTACTAAAGAGGAAAAAACAATTCAAAACTTATAAGGTAACTTTTATATATCATGAATATACTGGTAGTAAATGAACAATAAATACAAAAAGCAAATGGGTAAATTGGGGGGGGGGGGGATCAGAAACCGACCTTGTAAGAAAAACATGTTGCTTAATTGTAGCAAGAAACTCTTTGACTCCTCCGCTATAGAAATACAAAGGAGGATATGCAAGTCCTGCAAAAAGCTTTCATTCGTTCAATGTTCAAATTTATAAAACTTGACAACAGTATTGGCTGGGTGTGCAAAATAAAATTGAAACATATTACTTATGAAATCAACATAGGCCAATAGCTTTAAAACGCTACAATTACTGCATTTATGTGTGTGTAAACAAATTTATAGAGATGCTAAATTAGGAAAAATAGAATTCAGGATCATGTGATTGAGTGCGCTACTAGCTATGTCAAAAAGCCCAATGAAGATACATATTACCCTCAAACACACTTGTGAAATCAAATAAAATGCTTTCAGCCCACCCAAAAAATAAAAACTAAAATGCTTTCAATCGATATAACTGAATCCTACAGATTCACAATAGACACTATTTCTTGGTTTGACTACCAATTGATGTCTAAACAGTATTTGGTTGAAGATCTCAGAAAAACATATATTTCTTAATATTAAAATATAACACCTATAAAAAAGAGCACGGATGCAGCACTTCCCTACTGTATCCTACGTCAAAACTACATAGGATATACTTTTTATCTCATACACAAACCCCGTATCCTTTTTTTTTTTTTTTTGGCTCTGGAAAAAGTGGCCAGCTCATTTTGGCTAGTGTATTAACATGCATTCAAACTTGTTTTCCACTGAAAGCGTGATGAATACATCAAATAATCACTGCAATCATCTATGCACTGTTAAAGTCCTGCAATCCATCTTTGCATTGGAAGAAAATGCTGCAGTGCAGCTTTCAAATGCACCAACACTCAGCAAGAGAACACCACATATGTCAAAATGGCTCCAAAACAAGTCAGAATGGTTCTTTTAATGGTATATTAATTCTCTCACCAAAAACTGTATCATATACAAATTTTCTTTTGGGAAAAGAAAGGTATCCTGTGTCCATGTGTAATAGTTATAGATATGAAAAGTTTAGTATGAAGGGGGAAAAAGCCAAATTATTATGTAAGCTACTTCAACAATCTTTTTGGGATTCATAATTTTTCCATGTTCTACATAGAGATAAAAGAAGCAAACCTTTATACCCATTCTGTCCAGAACCAGGAAAACATAACTCCTCTCATAGACTACTCTCATAGAATAGGAGTACCTTTCCCTAGTTTGCGCAGGAAATGTAAGGCAATGTTTGTGCCAAACTAAACATAGATGCCCGGGAATTTCATGTTGCCACATCAGCTATTTTTACGAAGTGCCTGACGGGAGAAAGAATTTAATCCCCCTACTGTAACAAAAATCAGTTGACCCATCCATAATAGTGTTCCCAAGTCAAACCCAAATAAGAACATTAATAGTAACACCCTTTATTTATGACAGTTGCACTGATAACTACATGCCTAGAAAGTCCAAGAAGAATGGATAATAAACCAACACCCTCAATGAATTCTATTTTACACAGATAACACAAATAATGGGTTCTATACACACAGGCGCACATATATATTTATAGCAATAATGGGTTCTATATTATTGATGAGACTTAACAAGGAAAGACAACTCTTACAAGGCATAAAAATAAACAATTAAGAAAGAAAGAAAGAAAATAACTACATCAAAATCCATTATATTAAACTGGTGAGGCTAACCTGATGACAGAACAATAATGATATATTGCCACCCAAGTGGCGGAGCATGCCTCCGGATGGACCTTATGTCAGAAACTGGCACCGCCCTTATGGTGTAAAGATTTTTGTCTGTACAAGAAAAGGAACACACTTCAACGTACGTGTCTATGTGAAACTCTATATAAGCCACAAAAACTATAGCATAAATGCCGGCCTACCTTTCTCTGACAGTTTTGCAGTTGAGCTATTACCCTTATATGGTATCCACGTCTATAATGAAAATAATCAATAATTAGTCAGAAATGGCCACAGGAACAACAACAGGACACTCTAAAACAAGTATATACGAAATTGATTATTAATTATTACCACAAACAAAGAAGAGTTTTGCTTGATCAACTTCAGTCTTCCGCTTATCCTTTCAGACGCAAAATTAGACGGATGAATTGCGACGTTGTCCCTAGTATAGACAATCTCAGCACCTTCGGGCTCCCTAGGCGAGCTCGATTTAGCGCTGTCGCTTTTTAACATCATGCTTGCTGACCCCTAATTCAAAATTAAAACCCCAGAACTCCAAGAATCAGTTAAATTCACAATCATACGACAACCAAATAGAAATTTGTCTAGTATAGATGAATCACACAGCACTTTCACATACTGGAATTCAAGCAGAGAAACCAATAAGCAAGTAAGAATACAGTCAAAATTTGGCACAGCAGTTGAAATAAAAGACAATAATCTTACTTGTTGAAGTGACGCAGCGTAGTCCGCGTCGTCGGACAAATCGTGTAGCTCGGGTTCTTGCATGGAGAATTCGCAGATTACGAAATCAGAGTTCTCTTACAGGCGAAGGAATATACTGTTGTGAGAGGAGAACGCGTTTACATCAGTTAGTTTCATGGAATTATGACCGTTGGATTTTGAATGCTGAAACAATGAACGGTGAAGATTGGGTTAATACTTATTCCTTTCGTCTCACCAGTCATCAGGCAGTAACTTCTATGCAATCCGCTGATACAGCGACGGGCGGGCGTCAATGCCATGGCGGATTTAGGAGCTTTTGGCTTTTTGTCAAGAAAAAATTATAATCTGATCCCACTTAAAAAAATTAAGTACAAAAAAAATCTCCTTAAATTATTAAATTATTCTGAAATCAGGAGTTCATTGTAAAAGATTTTATTTGTTTAATTATCAAATTACCTTTATTTTTTTTAAAGTATATATTGACAACTGAAAATACAGTTGTTAATAACTTAAGATGTAGTAATTAATAACTATCATGGCAGGTATTAACAACTCATGCACCTGTTGTGATAGTTGTTAATCATTACAGCAACTCATGCGCCTGCCATGATAGTTGTTAATCCTTACACCTTAAATTATTAGCAATTGCATTTTCACTTGTCAATGCAAAATTAAAAAATAATAATAAGAATGATTTGCTAATTAAACAAATAAAATATTTTGTAACTAGGTTCCTTAGGATTTTAGAATAATTTGGTGATTTTAAGAGATCTTTTTGTATTTAATTCTCTTGGATGAGATTTCATTACAATTTTCCCTTTTGTCTACTCAAATATAAATAATTAATTTGGTTTACGTTTTCATTAAAAATGACATTTTAAATAAATCAACACACATCTTTTATAAATAATTAAAATGATTAATTTTCTTATTTATGCGAATTCTGCCAAATTACAAGATAGAAAGATGGAATGGATGGAAGCAATAAATGAAAAATCCAACCATTTGATTTATTTATATAAGCAATTTAATCTATATATTCATAAAATCTATTCTGATAAACCAATCTACAATCTTAAACTAGAAACACTTCATTACTCTTTTTTGTTTTGTGAAAAAAAACACTTCATTATATTACTTCATTGTTCATATCTAGCACTTTACTTAAACTAGGTACATTAAATGGGGTTTTTCTTTTTTGTCAGAACATGAAATGGGGATTAAAAAAATGTTGTTGTCCAAGTGTTTTCATTTTAACCTGGTGTTATGTTCATAGTTTCTGTGCACCTTCTTGATCTAGTCATTGTTTGACAAATGTATGCTATTGCTCTTTCTGAAGTTGACACCTATAGCATATTTCTTCACTTTGATTTTACCAGCTCTAATTCTCAATATAAGAACTAGTTAGAGGTTAGATTTAATTCTAAATATAATATTTCTATTCATTTTATCTCTCATCTTTGGTCAAAGTATCTCTATTAATTATAAAGGATTTCAACCAAAGATAATTCTAATCATTCAATATTAAGAGTATAGTTTTGGGATATTAGTAAAAAATTGTGACAAATAAACTAGCTTAATTAATTTTTTTAATATTCCTAAATTAATTATTTGATTTTTATATTAAGGATTGAAGGGAGTAATATCAAGTTGTTGGAAGTTGGTTGTTATATCCTGATATCCCTCAAATTACCGGAGGCTTTATTTTGGTCATTAGTTAGGATGATTGTAATAGTTGTGTCTAAGGTTTCTATGTTCCGTCTTGTGAATTTTGCTATAAAATAATTTTTTTTTTTTTAATAAAAAGACAACTTCCTTCAATATAAGCAAAGCGAATACATAAAATGTCAGCAAGTCAAATTCGACCAATCTGAGCAAAGCCCAAGTGAATCAAACGGGAAGGCTGGCTCAAAATATCTTAAACGTTTGGGGGGGGGGGGGGGACAGACAAAGCAACAATTAACAAAAAATAATAATAACAGAAAAACATTAAAAGAAAAAAACATGTGCAATAACACATATTACAACACAGAGGACAGAGCAATGAAATGATATCTGGTATGTGATGTTTTCTTATGAATGACTGTATTTTTTTTATATAATGTAATTGTCTATTTTATTAAAAAAAACGGTTTACTTGAATTACTATCAGATGATTCATGTAATGTCATTTTTTATTAAAAACTGTTTTTTAATTCCATCTCTTATTGTTTCGAATTGAATTAGTTTAGAGGAGCCAATTCATTTTAACTCCTCTTTTTTTTTTAATTTCAAAATTTAAGATGCAAAGTGCTGTTAAAAAAAATTAAGATGCAAAATAAATTACAGTTTTGCTCATCTCCCATTTTTCCCGTTTTGTAACTACATGGACTTGATTAAAAATTTAGTGAAATTATAAGGACTTGATAAAAAAAATGCAATGACCTAATTAAAAATAGGTAAAAGTATAAAGACCTGATAAAAAAAATTATGAGGACTTGATTTAAAATTAGTTGAAACTATAAGAACTTGCAGATTAATTAATCCAAAGTTTAATGAAAAAACACTTCTCTGATGGTGCATGACCTTGAGGTTGTGTGATTACTTTCTTTTTCGTTGTGGTTGTTATTATAATTGTTAGTAAAAAAAAAAGGTTTACAAAATAGCCGTTGTCAAAAAAAAAAAACAAAATAGACAGCTATGACGGCTGTAAGGACTTAAAAAGATTGATTTTTATTATATAAATGAAAAATAAATGTTATAATTTTTTTTGGCAGCTGATACTTGATAAAAATAATATATTACCTCAAGCATTAGCTTTGCTATGTGTTCATAAGCAGTCTCTACTTTGGCTTTCATGCTAATACTTTGCTCTTTGGTGTATCCTGCCAGGTTCTTTTTCAATAGTCCAAGGGGTACGCCCAAGCTTCTGCTTTTAGTGGCATAATTCGATGGCTTCTGCTTTTTCAAATGTAGGTGCAAAGTATGCTTATGATCATTGATGTCACATCCCAAAAATTTTCATTTGGCAATAAAGGATCAAAAATTGGGATGAGAGTCAATATAGGAACTAGACAGAGAGATAAAACAACTTTTGATATGAAATCCCAAAAAGATTCGAGCTAGCATTTTCGTAATTATTGATCTAAGAAAGGCAAAACGGAAAAATTTAAGAAAAATTTCAAAAAAATCCCTGAAAAATAGAAAAAGTATAGAGTAGAGGCTTTGAAAATTCGGTTGAGGCCCAAAAGGTGGAATTTCGGTGGAAATGAATTATTATGGAATTTCCCGAAAACGGAGGTTTTTTGGAAAATTATTGGGAAAATGAAGAAAAATAATTATTTTAATAAGTTAGAGGCCTCAATAAAGTTGGAAGATTAATGTAAAATTCATCTAAATGTGTGTTTGAATTTATAAAATTGGTTTTAGGCCTTGGAGGCTCAGGAATTAATTTTAGGGAATTTATTTTCCCTCAAATTTACCAATAAAGGCCTAATCGAAGAAAATTCAAAATAAATACCTAGAGGTGGTGAAAAATTCTGAAAATTTCCAGATCATGCTCCCATATTAAAAGGTGAATTATCATGGAGAGAAATGAATTTTTGGAGGTCTGGAAAAACTATAGAATGTTACTAGTGAATAGTAACCGATAAAGTTTCAAATCAGTTTGGGATAGTAATTTGGTTTGTGGGCCATATTTTTGGGCCAGTCCAAACCATTTTTGGGGCCCACAATGGACCCATTAAAGGCCCAATTTTGTGCACTTTCCAGATTCCACCATTTTTATTGAATAAAATGCAAAATTAAGAGATATTTGTGTGGAAAAATCTAGAGAAATGCCACATGGTGAGATCTGAAGATTTGAGACACTTGATGGCTACCAACACACCTCCTTATCTGTCATTTGGGTGTGCAAATCAGGAGGGAGAGGGCAGATGGATTTTTTCTATAAATACCCCTTGAAAATACAAGGAAAAAAGTTAGAAATTTGGGAAAAATAAGGGGAAACTCTGTCACTGTTCATCCAGCCACCCTTGCACGAAATTTTGAGGTGTTTTAGGTAAGAGATTATCCAACTTACTTCAAGGAAATACTAAGGTATGTCCAAGCATCAATATCTCTAAGTTTTACATTGATTAAACAAGGATTTTTGCTTGGAAAAATGCTGGAAAATTTTGAGAAATTCAGTTGAGATGTGTGATGATTAGGGAAGGATAGAAACCTTAATAATTAAGTGGAATAAGGAAGATTAAGTGATGTATGAATTGATTTTTGGATGAAAACAAAGTTAGGGTTTAAGGGAAGGAATTTCGTTCAGCATTGTTCATGCAAAAGCAATTTGATTTTGCTTGATTTGATGATTCCAATAGCTTTAAAACATGTTTTTGTGTAGGGATATAATATTGAAAAATGTTTAAAATCATTGGAATCAAAAATAGAATTTTTGGAAGCATATAGCCCCCTATTCGGCCAAGAGGAGTTCATGGGGAAGGAGTTTGAATTTTTAAAATTTGATTGCACCATTGGATTCCTCATGAAAAATTGTATAGGATTGAGTGATGAGATGGTTGATTCTAAAGGAGGAATCAATTTGTTAAAAATCAAAGACAAAAGGGGGGAAATTGTTAAGTAATGTTAAAGTGTTGGAACTAAGTTGTCTTGTGATTAATATGGTCTATGTTTATGCTTGGCTTAATAAGCATTGAGAGGAAGAATTAAGGAGAAGCATTGCTCCTTGGAGGAATTAGTTGGACAAGCTTTGTAGAGGTAGCTTTGAATTATAATTTGATTGTTTATCTTACTTTTGTTGTGATTTGTTGTTGCTTGGATTTGGAGGAATTTTGTAGTGACTTTGATTGTTGATTGACATTGGTTATGTTTTGGCCAAATGCTTTGTGGTATATCAATGTGGATGATATAATGTTCCTCTCCTTGCATGATATTTGGCATGAATTCCCATGAGTTGGGAATGAATTGGATTGCATGATATATTACAATTTAACTAGCAATGATTTACATGATAATTATAATTCGTATGCTACCGAGATTTCTTTGAGATCTCATCCCTCCTATGTCATTTTATGAACTAATTAGGAAGTGGACCAAGCATGGATCAAGGCAAGGAATTGGTAT